GAATTAATGTTAAACTAGCGAGTCCGAAGTTCATCTCTGGAGAAAAATGTTTGATCTGATACAATGTATAAAATTTTAAGATTTGACCGAAACACACAATTTTACAATCTAAGTGCAAATACCATATTCTGATATTGCCCAAGTTTTGGCAAAAAAATGACGATATTGAAAATAAAATGCGAGATGAGAGAATTCGAATGTCTCTGCGAATTATGTCGAATAATTAAGGCATCTAATTTCCACAATACATTCTTCACATTAAAGATTATTCTTCGCTTAAAAATTAGGAAACTCATGACGTAAAAGAAAATGTGAATTTTAAAAGCAAGCATTCCTGCAATTAAATTAGCTTATAAAAGTTCCTAATGATGTTGCGATAAAAAATCTTAAAAGCCGCAATTTTACTTAAATGTACTACATCCATATTTGCAAGGAAATATTTAGAAATGCTATTTTTTTTCTCTCGGAATACGTTTTACTGTTAACTTAGTATGAAAACATTCATTGAAAACCACCAACACGCTTTTTTGTTGCAGTCTGGTGATCCTCTAATGTTCACATATCCGAAGAGTTCTCTTATAAAAATAAAAGTCAAAACCAAACCCCCTACCACCCTTCATGAAATAGCCACGGTAACAACTAATTTACTAAGGTAGTACGTTAATCATAAGCTAGAGCCAGTTCAGTTTATGGTTCAAAAGGTACATATACATATATACAAGTATATTTATTTATTTGATCAAGCAGGGAGGGATTTGTTAAAGCTGAACAGAAAATATAGGGCAGACTATTTCTTTTGAAAAAGATGACTTCAAAAATCGCCATGGTTGTTTAGAACAAATTTTCTAGACCAAAGAATATTTCCAGCAAATTACATCAAATGATATTCTAAAATATGGTCATTTCATACCTTGTTTGAGTGTAAAAAAATATTTTCAATTACCGGCATGTCAATTATTTATTATGATCCTGCTCATTAAAGTTTGACTACGAAATGAAAATTACTAACATTCCGACAATAATGGTTCCCTGTACTTTATTCTCATATTAATCATTCATGCTTCTACATGTATGTGCACGTCAATCAGGAATACTGTTTAAAAATCAAAAAAAAAATTCTCCGCACTATTACATATTAAGTAGAAGCTATATCTTAATAGTTTCCCTATCCAGTATGTAAGGCCATAGTGCCCCCTCCCCAGGAATGACTGGTCATTTGCTGCTTATTAAGTATCGAAGTTCTAATTCATAGCCAGGTTTGCAGGTCCTCCTTCCTCTCTGCGCTATTGTTAGAGTATGGTATTGTGCTGGATTTTCTTTTAAGGAAAACAATTGAGAACAGCTAGAGGACCACCTCTCTTCCCCCCTCCCCCCCCGGGGGGGGTATGTTCTTTTTTTTATTATTATAGTCTTCAGTTTTCCTAAACTGTTTTAAATCATTTTAACTTTATTTGCTTGTCTTTTTTATTTGCCTTTTTAATGTTTTCCCCACCCATCCCCTTCTTTCCTTTGAAGAGCGACGCTTCAACTACATGTCTGATATATATATATATATATATATATATATATATATATATATATATATATTTTTATATATATATATATATATATATATATATATATATATATATATATATATATATATATATATATATATATATATATATATATATATATTTATACCGGAAATTTTACAATACTTGCTCTTAGGAAAGATAACTAGTGTTAAAAACGATAACTCGAGTTTACGAGAAGAGAGAATAGAGTCAGCTGGAATTTATAAACTTTGTAAGCAGGTGATGAAGGGACATCACTGCATAAGTAAGGAAGGTTGACGATAGAAAAGTTAAAGGCATTACTTTTTTTCATAGAGCTTTGTTTTTATATTACGCTGAACGTTTTTTTTTTCAAGTTAAATATCCAAGTATGAAACAGATGTGATTTTGCACAAATTGCTTCAAACTATTACATATCCTCTTGTGAAAAATTGATATGATTTTGTTTCATTAATATAAGAACTAACATAAATAATGATTTTAATTTCCAGTTGCGAAATCAGAAGTCAGTTCCGTCTACGAAGTTAAGCTGTATTTTGACAGAGATATACTTGACTTATCTCACCCTTTTCTCAAAATTGACATCAGAATCCCTTGAACTGTACCTGACAGAAATACTACCGACCAACAACGGAGTGCAGTCTGAGTTCTTTGGACCAAACTAGTTGGAATAAGTAGTTCATTAAATGCCAAGACTATTACCTTCGCTCCTGTTATCGAAAATTGTGACAAATTTTACGCCATGGCAGATTACTTTGTTTTCGGACTTAAAATATCCGGTGAGATAATAAGACTCGATTCAAATGCATACTGTTATAATTTTTTTTTGCTAAATATAAAAAAGTATTTTATATCACGTTCAACAAAGACAAAATGGCGGCTGACAATGTGGAGCTAGCTTATCTTAAATACATGTTCGAACCTGTAGACCTTAAATGCTCTTACGCATGTGTAGCAGACAAACAACAAACAATTTTTTTTCTAATATTTCTTGTGGGTTTCCTGTTCATGGGATTTAAAAGTAGCAATAAGAATGGAGTTTTGTTTATAAATCCGAAGAAAGACATGTATAATATTGGAATAAATGACATAATATACAAAATTAAAATTCATGAATTTCTTTCAGAATATATATTATTCAAATAAACCACATTTATTCGTAGGGGGGTGTTAATTAAACAAAAAATGCATTATTGAGGTTCTTAGAGTTCTGTTGCCAAAGGTAATAGTCTATATATGATTGTATAATATAAATCTCGATATATATAAAAACAAGTATAAAGTCATATATATAAATAACAATTTGCGGTTTAATGTAAATTAATTTTTAAATTTGATATTTTTTATTGCGGACGATTTCTATTACATGTACCTATCTTAGCCGAGACAAACAAATTCTATATATACTATGATTTTGACCCTTTGACCTTGTTCATGAAGTTTCGCATACTTTCAATATTTTTTGTGTTTCCTTATAACTTTTGAGTGAAAAGAGGTAAGACTTTCATATTTGATATGTGCACGTTTCGGAATGTTATGCTTTTTTAAACCCCTGAACTTCATCTTTGTCTTAATATAAAAAGAAATTAGAGACTACTTAGGAATAATGCTTATTTATGATAAGGTGTTCATATTGGACACATTGGGCCATTAAATAATAGCTTTTCACCTTCTTAGGCGCCGAAAAACATGGATCTCAATTCATTGAATTTGCTTGTTACATGTTAAGCATTCATTTATATACAAACTACGATACTAAGTACGTGCATTCATTTAAAACCTGTATTTTTTGTGTTTTCATTGTATTCATTTGAATACAAACAGATAAATCAGTATTTATGGCCTTTTTTTAATGTGGCCATTTGATAGCATTCATTTGAATTCAAACCAAAAGAATCAATAGTATGAATTTATATTTGACATGGATTTTTTGTTACTCTCTTTTGAGGTATTCATTTGAGTCAAGTTATTGAAGGACAATAAAAAATAGTTCACACAATTTTGAATCAACCTTTGAATTGGTCAAATTTGTGAACCAATTTCATCTATTGCACAAATTAGCCAAAGTATGAACCCTTGCCATTGTCCCATTATGCAATGTAAAATAATTATTCTAATTTTTATCTTATTTTGATGTTATAATTTAAATATTATATTTATGACAGCTGATATAATTTTGGATTAAATTAACATAATAAACGCCACTTATATTGTAATATCGGTAATTTGTTATATAACTATTTTCCTGTGTATCTCCTACATATTAAATTATCAATGACGTGAAATTGAGATCCTCTTCAACAAGTATTGCTCAATTATCATAAGATATTTTAAGGGGTAAAATTAAATAAATATTACCAGGTGCTAGAGCAAAGATCCCGTCCTCTTTTATTAATAAAAAGTCTATGTACAAAGACGCGACAATTCCTAGTAAGAAAAATACTGCCATATTTAAACTATAAATGTAAATTGTATTCTGGCATCAGGGAAAAAACTGAACCACGCTATCCTTACTCAATATATGCATCAGAAACAATGAAACTAAATTTTACAAATTTAAGATACAACTTAAAATACACAGTGCAGACTGAGCAAATAGCTTAATTTGAATGAGCAGTAAATTTCATATTCATCAGACCACTTATATCCCCGTTTTGTTCAGAATTGTGACAATTAAAAAAAAAATCAAGCTATTTTGTTTTCGAATTCAATAAATCTTCTGAGATTAAAAGATTTAATTCATGCATGTATTGCTCTATTTTTCATGATAATTGCCGGTAAAAGAAGAATGTTAATTTTCCGGGTTTATTCTTTAAACCATATAACTTAACTCCATTACATTAATCAAGGGCTTCGAATTTAGACTGTATTTGGCACTCATGGCAATTGAGCAGTAAGGGTTGTTTTCCGTGTCAACATCTGCCGTGACAGGGGACTTCCTTATTTTAAGGTTTAAAAACTCGCAACTTTTACTTCAAAGTGCTAAAAAATTGACAAAAACAGTTGTTACCTATAGTTTTGTTTATCGATGTTTCATTTTGGTTAGAATCAACGGCCTTCGGATCACAAATGTCGTTTACAAATGTTAAAATAATTTTATGCATTAGAATAGTGATGAATCAATGACATTTTGAAATTTGAAATTAATTAACCATAAATTTGTGTATTCGCTAATTAGGGTACATGTAAAGGCACAATCCAAATGTAATTTTCTCATATTAAACTACTCTACTTGTTTCAGATTAGCCTTATCAATTTTAATCTGTTGCGCGATTGCGAATTATATATCGTTAGACAATACCATTTTGATAAATGACCCCGGAATACATGAAAACAAAACCAGTGATAATCGATGTTATTTAAACGGAAATATGAGTAACAAATTTCAAATTGTTTAATTTGAACTTTCATAAGTGAAACTTTTCTGGTGGTAAAGAGTTTCGACATGTCAATTAAAAGAATGTGGTTTGTTCTTGCTTTGTTGATGATTATTGACAACTGTGATTGCGTAAGTATTAATTGATAACTTTCCAAAAAAATCAACAATGTAATTTTTAGTTATCTTAAGCAATATCTTAGATACTCTGATTTTACAAATACTTTTATTTCAAAGCTTGAAATTTTTAAATTACACCACTGCTTGAAAAATAGAAGGCTATGTAGTAGGAAATGCATTTTATAACTGTTAAACTGATTACTCAGTCGAAACGATCGCAATTGGTTAGAAAATTTGTAATCGGTTTGTAGGAAAAAAATAAAATTGACAAATAGTTTTCTTTAAATTTATATTTAAATAGTAATCACTGCACATAGGTTTGAAAATTTAGTATTCAACAAAAGTGTCAAACTGATTTGGAGATGATTATCGTTATGGTTCTCCGGATGACAATGTAGTGGTACATTGTAATAAAAATTTCGAAAAAGTAGCGGTAATGATACGCACCCACCACCACGGGGTAATTGTAAAGTTTGAGTAGGTTAATCATTGTGCAAAGACCATACCGTTACCCAGACTGTCCTGTATTTCTTTAATGATAGTATTTAAATTGCACAGAGCACTGAGAAATGGAATATGTTTTTTTTCCTATTCAGTTCTCTATCCAATTAAATTATTAAACAAAGATTGTAAATTCAGGGCAGCAGACTTAATATTGATTATTGAAACAATTTAACCTTGCATGGTATCTGCTTTAAAAAATAGTTTGAAGTTTTCTTCAGTTTTTTTTTCCTAAATTATTCTAAAACTGAAATTTAAAAAAAATGTAATTTTTTCATACAGAATGAAGACAAATCAAATGTTTTTAAATTCTATATTTTCTAGTCTCTCGGTGTACATACGGAAAGAGCTACATGTACTTTGAAAAAATGAAATATATAGGATATGTATAAGATAATATGTATTTTGTTACGATTAACCAGTTAATCGGTGGGAACGTCTTCCGGTTAACCGAATAGCATTTCTGTATTCGATTGCCAATCTTAGTATATAGTGATTGGAATGTCCGTATGTCCATCCGTCTGTACCTCCGTCTTTCTGCCCATCAGTCTGTTACAGTTTGGGGTACCCATCTCTTATCCACAACTCCTCTTTTAAATGAACAACTGACTGAAATTTAATGTGTCTTTTACGAAATTTTGTTAAATAGTGTATTTGTGCACCTTCTTTTTTTTTTTTTTTTTTACTTTTTTTTTGAGACATTCATGTTTCCCGTTGCAAAACATTGACAAACCTTTTATCTTTAATATTAAAGAGTACATGTAACCATATCTTATATGCAACTCCTACATGTATACCGCCGAATAAAATTTAATGGTTATGCAATGCCATTGTGAAGGTCTTATTTTATTACATATATACCAAAACATTATATTAAATGAGATTGGAGGTAGGGTATCATTTCAATGAGCTCAGTGCTCACAGTACCTCTAGTTTAATAACATTGTTGTGTATGATTTCGAAAATTTTCTGTGAATTTACATATTTTCTCAGAAGAAAGATGTTTTATTGATCTGTTTACATAGCTTCCAATGGTATGCATGAAAAAAAAATAATATGTAGAGCGAATCTCTCCTATGCACTTCTTCATGTATTGCTGTGTTTGGAAATAACAGGTTTTGAATATAGAGCGAGCACTTGAAAAACCAAGCATAAGACCCCTAAACCTCAAGGCCAGAACTCAGGACACTACAGTGTTTGTATATGGGCGATTCCAGTGTCCTGACGATACTTATGTAGATATTGATTACGGGACAATTGTGAAATTTCAAAAAGGTAATATACATTCACTGTAAAATCACATATTTTCATGTGGTCAAATTTTCGTTGTTTGATAGAATAATGTGTTCGCGGGGATGTAATTTCATGGATGAGGAATTGTTGAGTAGTTGTGTGAATGACAATTAACACTTCGTGGTGGACATAAATTTGTTTGTCTTCTCATACCTCTAAAACAACGAAAATCCCCCCATCGATAATTAATGATTTCACTTTATTCATATGTCCAAAATATCCACTGTGCAAGGCAGAGACAAGTCCTTCAGATCAGATGGTAATTAATCAAGGTAGCATGTCGCATAAAAAATTTCTCTCTCTGCTCAGAAGTAGAAATGTATGAAATGTCAATTCTAATTCGTCTTAATTATAATTTTAGGTTCTTTCGAAACTGGAACATAATTTAGAATAAATAACTGTTTTGATAAGGTTTAAATAAGAAAATACAAAAAAAAAATAAATGAAAAATAAAAAACGATTTTAAATGTAATTTTTTTATTAAAAAAAATGAGCATTTATTTTTCATTGCCACAATACTTTAATAACTCGACAGAATCATATCATTTTGAAACTAGGATACTTTGTAAGTGTGCACATTTCTATTTCGTAACTTTACACCGTTTGAGGTGTTCAGGGCGGTGGGAGGGGATGGATGGAGGGGATAGGAGATGTTTGAAATTTCTGGTTGTATCAAAAACATCTTGCTGAAAGCGGGATTTCTTAACGAACAAAGCTCAACTTTGATAAGTTCAAAGCAGACAAGTCAATTTTTCTTTTCGTCATTCAGTTTTTTTTTTTTTTTTTGCTTTGAGAAACCCATTCAAACCAGCAATAATTACGTATCCTTGTAAAATGTAACTGCGAGAACATGAAAAAATGTGAAATGTGAGACATATCAACAGATAACTTAAAAAGACACAATAATGTATACTTCTTGAATATTTTTGTTTTCAAATTTTATTTTCCAGTGTTGGATTCCACGAAAAATTCCACAGACTTTGAACTGGTTTTGTACCATGACTCAGGAATGCATTCCAAGCTTACACTCCGCTCAAAATCTTCATTAGAATCTCTAGTCATTTACTTGAATGATAAAGCAGACAAGAGTGTACAAACTGGGCATTTTGGGACAAAATGCGAAGTTGGAATCAGCAGTTTATCCGATCATAATTCCAATCTTCATTGTATCTATTGAATTCCTGTGTTTTGATTGGACGAGAACACGTTTAAGAAAATTTTTACACATCGATAATTTTTTTTCAATCAGAACTACTTTTTTGACTAAGCTTCTACATGTAGTTTATCGTATAAACAACGAAAGCAGTTATTTATTGTCTGTTTTGGATAAATTATAAATACAAGAAACTTCAAATTTAATTAATTAAAACAAAACTGGTGACATGCTAGGCTGCCCAGCTGACGGACGCCATGAAAATGTTAATGTCACAGTTCGATCACGAGTGTGAATTTTAAAAATCGCTGTCTCAACGTTCATAATACGAAGATAATCAACTCAGTTTGTATCGTTTAGACAGGGAAAAGAAACGTACCTCAAACTCTTGCCCTATAAGCATCAAATTCATATTTACTTTCTATATTGTTCCTCAATCTTTGAACAAACAAGTGCAAATCGAAGGCGTCGTCTCTGCAACTTTCGCTATGAGAGTTGTCGTTTATGTCAACATGGCCATGGTCAAGGACGAACTATTCTGAAGTAAACTCGTAATTACGATATTTGTTGACTTAAACAACATTCGATAAGTCTTTATAAGTTTATTTATCGATTGTTTTGACAATTAAAGTTGAACTCTATCGAAATTCATCTCGATTACGTTCCTTTGCGGTAAAATGTATTCCTACGCCGTCCAGAACTAACGGATTGTATGGAGGCCTCAAAGAGAAATAATTTGAATATTTTTAAAAATTCGATATTGGAATTATAAGAATTAAACGTTCTTTTTGAAAAATTTATCATGTGTATTTTTTTACTGACAAACTTAACATAAAAGTGCTTCGCACTTTTATTCAGTTTGTGAGTAAAATTTTTACACAGATAAATTTTTCAAAATCCTATAATAAATTTATCACCTACATGTCTCTTATTCAGAATTGCGAGGAAAACATCACATCCGATTATTTTGTCGTTGGACTTAATAAATCCGGTGAAATTATGAGACTAGATTCAGACATATTTTGTTTGCATTCTAATGCAGGATATTTGAAATATTTTACATCTAGATGTTCAAAGAATATATCCAGTGAACCTCAATACGTTACATTTGACAAAGTCAAAATGGCTGCCGATAAAGTTGGGCTACTTTATCTGATTTACATATTCCAGCCTGTTGGATCGAATTGTGTAGACTCTTGTATTGCAGATAAAGAACAGTGGTTTTTTACTATCATTTAGTATGATCAAGAAATTATACTGAAAATTAAAGTGTAAGCGGCGAACTTCTTTTGTTTTATTTTTTAGGATTTCTGAGGGATGCAAACATTTTCTGAAAGCAAATTTTATTATGTAAGAACAGCGAACGATAGCTTTTTTTTCCCGCCTACCTCCAAATCATTTTTCAAAAGTCGACATATTCGATGAATTTTGAATTTTTTTTATAGATAATTATATAGATGTTTATAAAACATTACTTATTTGGGAAAACAAAGAAAGATAACTCTAAAATATTGGTAAGACTTGTGTTTTTCACTATAAAAATCAACGGAAAATGTAAAATATTTTTAAAACATCCCCCCACCCCCGTGTCATAAAAAATCCCTTTGTACAGGTAATATGGAATGTAATTTCACAAATTCATACGAAAGCTTTTTGTGTGACACCAGGGGGGTGAGAGGTGAGGGGCGGGGGTGGGGGGGCATATGTTTTTTGACAAAAACGATAAAAATTCTTATTTTCCACCAATTTCAAAGCGATTTACAATTGAAACATTATATTTTATTGATATGTTTATGTTTTATTTTATAAGGAAAGAAATAAGGAACATTTTATCATATTCAAGACTATTTCATAATATGGTGATGCTTGGAACTCCGATTTCAATGGAAAAATCGTCAACCCCCCTTTTTTCAAGGGCTGGAATTCTGGATAATTTCATGTTCAGCGCTGGTATTATGACCATTCATCAATAACCATTGAACTGTTCTTTGTATATTAAACAAAGATTTTATGGCCAAATTGCTATTTATATTGAATTAAATTGTTCCAAAATGTCGGCTGGAATCGAGAGTTAGCGTCCGTATTTCTTTAAAATCTTCCAGATTACAATTTTAAAGGCATCCTTTTCCTCCCTTACATTTCAACCATTAAAAATTTCTGTGGTTGTTGACAGCGGGCATTCTACTTGTTGTTATAAAGCAAAGTATTTTTCGATTGTTTTGTCATTATTATTTCTTTACTTGCAAATAAGGTTTATCAATGCTTAACACTAATTAATTTTTGGCAATCTCATTCGAAATGCAGCCACCAAGAAAATGCTCAACAATAATCCATTATTGAACCAGATTGAACATGTGAATCAACTGGAATTGTCATAAAATATATTCATTTTTTTTTTCGGGATTAGGTGACTAAAAGTAAACAGTATTACCCTGTTGAACATTACCTTCTACATGCACCGTTAGCCCTATGTGCATGAAGGCGAAGTATTCGTTACGTTCTTTGTACTGTGACATCCATTTCAATTAAAGAAAAATTGTATGATTTGAACAAATTTCCAAAATAAAAACATACTAATATATATGTCAAGTATGCTATGAGATTCTGTACTTCAAAATTAAAATGATTTTTAATAAATCTTCATTCTTTTAGTTTGTTTTTTCCTGTGAGACTCCTTATTGTGACATGAAAGTTTTATTCACTTTAACTCTACTTGGAAATGTTTCAAAAAGCAAAAAATTGGGGGAAAAAGTATTTGTTTGAAAAAAAAAAATTAAATTCATGACAATCTTAATTTCTCTGAGGATTAAAATAAAAGCTAACTTAAAGGTCAACTGGGTCGCTCAGGTTTACCACCTGCCTTTTTTACGACCTACGTGTGACATTTTATTTATTCTTTTAACATCTATAGAGCTTATTCAAGATTAAGCAGACTAAAACACAAATCTGGCTTTATATATGCCAGCGGGAACTTGCATCACTATTCGCAGCTCATGGGACGTTCTACAACGTCATCGCTTTTATAGTTTTCAATGAGGATTACCTTTCTTCTCAAGTTGATTTCTTTTTAACGTTGCAAAATATTCAGTTATAACATGGAATATGAATCAATGTAACTGTCCTCAATTTAAAAGCCTAAAATTTTTTTATTGCTTCTGCTTCCTTTTACAGAGAGCATGAATACAAAAATTATCATAATTATTTAATGTAATATTTATAAATTACTGAATTTTGACTTACACAAAGATCCGATATTTGCAGTAGTTTTAATTGTGGATAGGTTTGAAATAAATCATTATACTTTTGAAGAAAAAAAATCTATTTATAGTTAGAAAATTTGAATAATATATGACGTTTAATAAATGCTAAAGGTTTAACACATAATTATCCTAAATTAACGCCTGTAATTAATCATCGCGTAATTTTGCGAGAAGCATGACTCGCAAAATAAAATCACCCTCTTTAATTTTTTGGTGGTGAAATGATTGTACAATCCATTGACCAACAATCCATTCGCGTATTTCATTATGCGATTTGAAGAGCCTTTTTGTGATAATAAGTACTCGTGAAAATTAAAATATTTACAGTATTCAATCTCAAAAATCCATTAAAAATACAAATCAAAAGTCCAACAAACACGGACGTCATAAATATGAGGTAATATCAGGTACTGTGGAGGAGTGAGTATCAACCGGTTTATGGTCAAAGGCGTGAAAATGAAGTTGACATAAGAGCAGATCACTGTATTTTGGCAACAAAGTTTGTCTTTTGCAAACTACTTTAGTGTCTTTTCTAAATAATTTATTATATAATGTCGAAGGTTTCCGTCCTTTCATTCTCCATTTTTACACCTGAATGAAACGTATCAACCACTTACTCATCCATCACATTCTCTGAGTTCAGAGGATTCTCATTTCCATTTTTTAAAAAAATAAATATATTGAACAACAACAACAAAAGTTTTGTACTACTGTATACTCTTCAATTTTTGATACTGTTTATTTTCGCCCCTTTAATTGCTTTCAAAAGATCCTCGGTATATATATATATATATATATATATATATATATATATATATATATATATATATATATATATATATATATATATATTATATAGAACTGTGACTGGGCAAATTTAATGTATTTGGCAAAATAAAATTAAAATGCAAGTGTGAAAGGGTTATATCTCTTGAAATTAAAGCGGGGCGAAATACATCTTTTGTATACAGTATTTTAATTTTTTTTCTCTTCAGCTTTTGATACTGTAACATCACTCATTTTCTTCGGTCTTTAATTGCTTTCAAAAGACACGTCCGTATTCATGCCCACCAAAAAATGCAAAATGGCATATATATTACATGAACAAATTATCATTAGTGAGATCAACTCCCTAAACATAATTGCATGTATGTGGTTAAAATAACATGATAGAATGGTCATTTGAACTTATGTGATTATTACAGAAAATTATATCTCTTGAAATTAAACGATTGAGAAAAACCAACTTTTGATATCCGCAATACAGTTGAAAATTTAGTTTGATAAGGTCCAAAGGGTTACACGTCAACTGTTATTAACTACTGAATACAGATAAAAGTGTGTCTAGGTAGTACAGTTCAATATTGTCAGCCGAAATTTTGTCTTCGTAAAAAGGCTAATATACAACGGATCGTTTCAGATGCATACATAGAAAAACGTCTATTTGAAATAAGTTTCGATATTTTTCATTAGATTTAACACATTCGCAGAAAAACTTACCCTGTGTTTTGAGCCTTATAATCTCTCCAGATTTTTTCAAAATCCAATATTAAACTGCTCGCTAACTGAAGCTTTTGTTGTATACAGCTCTGAATAACAAATGTGTAAATTGTAGATTGCTTTTCGGATGACCTGTTGAAAATAAATTAAACAGTTTTATCAACTGATATCCATATAAATTTTACATGTACATATATCGCTTTTACTGCATCACTCAAATAAATGTGCATTTCTTCAGACGCAGATTTTGACGTCAACTTAAGCAGGGGCAGTCAACCCCTGTCATCAAAGAGAAACATTTCAAAGTTTGATGAACCATCGTTTGAGTCCGAAACTAAAATAAAAAAAAAATCTTCCCAGTGCTCAATTAAACCAGGTATACATGAAATAATTGAAAAAAAAAAAGAAAAGAAAAAAAAAAAAACAGACCTATGAACCTCAAAGGTCCCCTAAGCATCATGTACTTAAATTCCAAATATTGAATTTGGTTCATATCATACATGTAAACTAGACCCCATGCTATTGATAATTTTATTAGAAGCACTATTGCTCATCATTACTATACACTTAGATTGTTTAGGTTTGGCTACTTAATACCCATATCGGAGGAACAAGAAGAAATGCATTTTAACAGAACAGTAACTGTTTTTAAAAATCAGCAATAATCAGTAATACTCCAACTTAACAGCAACATCTGACCCTTTTACAAATTTTGGAAAAGCCGTCTTTGTTCATCATGAATGTATTTATACATTCATACAGAAAATTACACTGAATGTAAATATAAAAATATAATGTGTTGTTCAACTACGCATGATACTATGAGAGCTTATATCAGCTGACAGAGACAATAACTAAAGTGTCAAAAGTGTTGTTAAATTTCTGATGACTTAATAACACAGTTATTGACTTTGAATTTTGTTTACTCGTGATAAAGCGACCTGGTCACCTCGTCAAGTATTGGTTAACATCCGCGTTCGGTCTAGGTGAATTAATACCTGACCATGTCCGTACAGTCACGAGTAGACCTCATCAAAAATCAATAAATGTATAGAACGATACAAAAACAGTATATCACTACATTGTTATTTGCCATAAAATATTAGCAATAAAAAGCAAACAAAACAAAACAAAACAAAACGAAACAAAAAAAAAAAAAAGAAAAACGAATGAAAAGTAACAAGGTACCTTTGTCAAAGCTGATGATTTTCCCTTCAAATTCTGCTGTCGTATCAGGAGGACACTGAAATCTTCCATGCATAGTAACAACACTGTCTCCATTAAATTCCGATACATTCAGATATAAGTGTTGGATTTGTGGCTCTGCTGAAACCCGTATTACATTAGAGGTCTGAAAATAAGTAATATGAAAACCTTGCTTTTTAAGAAAAAATGTCCTAAATGGTCATTGAAAGTAAACAGAGTACAAACTGTTATAATGACAATGTTTAAAATAATTAAAAGTAATTTCTAAGCACAACCTTTATTTTATCGGCAGCGAAGTGTGAGAGTCTTAATCGTTATTTAATGGCTTCCATTGGGTAAAAAATGTTACAAGGCTACGATTTTACATTTAAATGAAATGTAATTACTTTATACAAAGTATATAATCATCCATGTGATCTTTTTTTTCTCTCCTGAAGAAGGGAAAAATATTTATAATTCATATCTGTATTTCTAATGGTAATGATAAAAGTTAAAAAAAAAATACACTCACACAATGACATCTGTCAATAAGCAGTCACTTGACAAGGACAACAAGCCTGTAACTATAGAAGGACATGGTTGTAGCCATACTTGGACCTTGTGGATGGTGCACAAATCATCTAGACTATGTCGAAAAATATCCCGATCTTTTATAAAGAGCAATGCTATTGAAAACCTTAAATGCTTGGCTAAAGAGCATAATTTTTGTGTTCATGACATTAAATTTTAAAAAAATTGCTTTTTATTAACTCTTGAAATAAAACCGTTTTTAGCGGTCATAGGTCATCATAAAAATGCCAGAGATGGATACCGTAAATCTGGAAATTTTTACTGTAGATAAATTTTTAGCAAATTTGCGCGTGCATTGCATTCGCAAAAATATTTTTCTTAAAAATAAATCAACATGTGAAGAATTTTTTTCTGAGAGCTCGTGTCTTTTTTTAACTCAGAGAATAGGCGTCGGTAAGCACTGGCCATTTATATAAGAAACCTGTTTATACAGGCTACTATAACTACAAGTTAATTACCCGTAACTGTAAATTACCCTCATTATATGCAATATCGTCAGATGGTTTGACAAGCACTGAGGTGGTATGCCCCTTTTTAATTATTTTGCCAATAAATAGAAAACAGTTATTTTATCTAACCGTGTATCAACACGGGCGATAACTCGAACTCAGTGCATTTACTAGAGAGTTCCAAATGTAAACACGTTGTGTAAATTTTAGGTGAGAAAAAACCAAACGTTGAGGAAATTAGTTATATTTTTTACTTCATTTGGATTATATTTTAGGTTAAAAGGCATACACATCCTCTAAAATGTTTGTTATAATCAATTAAGAAGTTATTTTCAGTGCAAATCCTTTTACATGTATTTTATCAGAATGTTTTTCGGTGCGATTCTGCAATTCCTTGCCACGTTAAGAGTAAATTGGTGGTATTCTAACTGTGCATACTAATTTGAAACAATGCCTGGTTTGAAAATCTTCTGTGATTTTTATTTTTAGCGCCAGTGACAATTCGCAAAAATTTGAAGTGTAAAAATTAATCAACAGCTTTTTGACCCAAATTCGCAAAAATAAATCGACGTAAAAATTTCCAGATTTACGGTATCTCTTAAACAGACTAACAGCTTAACACCTTATTAAACCTTTGCTATTTAACACTCAAAATGTCAGATTCATGTTTCATATGATTTAAAATTACATGTATTTTCAATTTTTAGACAAAGAATTATTTTTGTCAGTATCGTAATGCGTAAAAACTTGTGAGTTGTGCCCAAAACAAAGGAAATAGAAATTCAGAAATGCATGCATGCTTATAAGGAGTTCGCGTATCGACAAATCATATGCTATGCAGAGTATTTAAAAATTTGGTGAAGAATTTGAAATAAATTGAAAACAAACGAGGTATGAATTATACATTATGAGTTTTGAATGTCAAAAGCTGAATGAGGTCTTTGATTATTAGCCTTTTGACCAATGGATACACTCTGACATATCCCTGCTCACTTCTTCCTTTTTGAATGGTTCAATTATATAATAATAAGAAAAAAAATTTATAACTATAAACCTATTATTTTATTA